CCCCAAAACCCCAAAACCCCAAAACCCCAAAACCCCAAAACCCCAATATCTATAATTAAAATTGATTCTTAAAATTCATAATTTTTTTAAAATAAAATGAATGTAAGTAGTGACTCTTAGCCTACCGCTAAAAGCTGTCTTGCTATATCTAGGATCGACGACTAATTAGATTTCTTAGTTATTTGATTTACATCCAGAATCTTTATCATAATTCTTGTTGATATGCAACTATTCTTGCTCATAACATAGATTTCCAACCTCCAAGCATGTTTAACTCCTAGAGAGTCTTTTCCAATGCCCTACACAGTATATTTTGTCAAAAACTTCTTAACATAATTCTCTGAATTTTTATGAATTTTAGCAAAAAAATTGTGAATGAAAGAACTTCCTGCTGGAGTAGAGATTTTGGAAAATATTACTATATTTCAACTGTCATTGTTATTGCACTTGTGTTAAAAAATTTAGAATAGCTCTATTGACCAAATGATGAATAAAATAAAGGCTATCAAGATGAAAAGAGGTAAATTAGAATCTGATTTTTCAAAAATCTACCCAGACAGAGGGTAATTCTTACTATAGTGAGGAAGCCTGAAATATCATCGAAAGATAAGGTCAAACTAGACACACCTCTCTCCTTATGGGCTCTTAATGTGAGATTTCAATACGCAGAGAGTAAAATGAGAACAACTTTGGTTTTGAAATTTGAGTAATCTTTAGAAAGAGAGACGTAAATCAATCAAGAAAACTCAAAGCAAGATTCGTGGTAGCTATGATGATGTGAATGTGTAGGTGTAATGAGAGAGAAAATGAACCATTCGGCTGAACTCTTCAGAGGAAAGGTAAAATGCTTAATTTCTGCCCTTCTAATAATTTCAGGAAGATGAGAAAGAATTTGAAAGTTTCAATTATAAGCAACAGAAAAATTTTAACGTTGATAATTTTGTGTTCGGTAATGAGGAAAGCAGGAATAAAATCACCAGTGATACCTCGAATAGAGCCAGAGTTAAAATGTCTGATGACTTTTTAATGAAATTAAGAATGACAAACAATCGCTCAAGGTATTTCTCATAATTCATCATAGAATTGAGAAAAACAGAATTAAGAAAGTTCTGACAGCTGGAACTCCTTACAAAAATACACTATATTCTGAAAAGTCTCACGGTAGAAACTCCTCCTTAAAAAGTAAGACCCAGTATAACATTCAGGAGCTGGAACAAAGCAGAGCACATATGAAACCCTAAGCTCAAAAAGAGAATCTCCAAGGAATTCAATCCCCAAAAATACCCAAATTCCCACTGAAGACTCCTCAGAATCTCCTTCCAAGCCCACTAAAAATCCTTCTACCTCCAAAATCCTTCAAAAATTTCCAAAGAGGAAGAGCAAGGAGTCAAAAATCTCCATTTACAAGGACACGAAAGAGTATATTCTCCATAATTTTCTTAGGGATATTCAAATGAAAGAGCTGACAGAGTCCACTCTAAAGAACCAAAAGAAACACTTACAGAGCGAGTATACCAAATAAGGTCAAGTCAAAGCAAGGCAATTACCTTAATGATGCCAGTGTACGGCTCGTCTTATATCTCTAGGCCGAGAAGGAAAGCATCATCAATGAGAACGTTTATGGTATCAAAGGTATATCTTCCATGATCCTGTAGAAGGACAGATATTCAAGCAGATCTCAGAGATAGAGATGATCTCTCATCCTCTTTCAGAAGAAACAATCAAGCTTGAAGATGTAGCAGTGTCTCTTAAGTATAAAACCTCGGTTAATACTATGCTTAAGAAGATAGCCAAGATGACAGTCAACAAAGGACTCTCTGAATACCCTGATCCAAGTAGGAAGCCGTCTAATTTGCAGAATAAAAAGAAGAAGTCAACACGTAATCATTCTCATGGTACTGATCATAACAATAAATCAGTTGATAACTCCCATATCCATGGGCATATCAAGCCTCTTGAGGAGCAAGGACTTCCATTATTAACAGTAGCTAACCAGAACGAGGATAATAATAATGAAACCCTGAATATTTCTGAGAAGGAGTTCTTGAAAGAACTCATCAAGGAAAAGCTCCAGCAATTCAGAGAGCGATGCCTCAAGGTAAATTATTGTCTGAAATCATGTAGCTCTTCCCAAATTATGATAATAAAGATACATATAATAAGAACTTCCAAGCTAGGAATGAGATTATGAGGAAATTCAAATTCGAACAGCTCAAATAAGACAAGCATGAATAATTTTATCAGAGATGCGAAGAAGTTCATCCTCTCAAAAAGGAAACAAAAAGAGCAATCTTCTCTATCCAAAGCGGATTCGATGCTCTTCTCTGAGCTTGATAGGCTCAGCAAAGAGAGTAGCAAAGACATACAACTTCAAGATCCAATAATCGATGATATGCAGAAAGAGTTCGTTGACTGGGTCTTGGCCAACTTGAAGAGAGATGGAAAGAGAGCCAGAACAAAAGATTTACGTATCAAAAAATGCTATATGGGCCTTCTTTCCTACGATATGAATAAAATGAAAGTAAAGAAGAATTCTAAAGCTAATGTTAAGGCGCAATATGATAACATCATTGATGCAATGATCCAGAAACATAATAAAGACAAAGCTTTGAAGGACAAAACCATCTCTAATATCAAAAGAAGGGTTGTACCGAATATATCATATTCCAAAAATCGGAAAGAGATTTTCTAACAAAATTAAACATTTTCAACTTTTCTTCAACTTTATGGGGTTTTGGGGTTTTGGGGTTTTGGGGTTTTGGGG